GCACTTGACCCCTGCCTATTATTTCTCTATTTACCATTCTGATTGCCTTCTGCTATTGCAGCAGCTACCAATTGAGCCTTGCGACTCTCCTTCCTCACTTGATATTTCTCCTGTCTCTTCCTTTCCTCCTCATCCCTATTATTGTATACCTTCCAGGCCACTTCCAATAACTTGTCTATAGATCTAGCTGCTCCTTCTGCCCTCTGCAACTTCCCTAATATCCGGGCTTGACTGACCCACAAACAAAGTAACAAACATCAAAGCATCAGTTTCCTTTTCTGGATCGAAATCAGTCCATTTTCTAGCCACTTCACATAATCGCTCAAAAAAGGCTGATGGAGTCTCATCTTTCCCTTGCACCACCTGATACAGTTTTGACAAACTATTTGGTTTTGCAATAGCACTCCTTATTCCAAACAATATTAACCTTTGGTATTCAGTTAGCAGCAATCTTTGTGCCGGATTATTAGGATCCCAATTTGGGTTGGTGGCTGGGAAGTGATCCTCCAATCTCCCTGCTTGAGCATCCTGGGCATGCACCTTTTCCGCTTCTTCCCTAGCTTTGACCAACACAGTCCTCCGTTCCTCATATGTCAGCAGAGTATTTAACACTACCTGAATATCTTTCCAATCTGGATCATAATTTTCCACAATAGTTTCCAATATTTCTGCCACCTCTTCTGGATCTTCCCTATACGTTCCGGCCATCTCCTTCCAAGCCCTTAGATCAGCTACTGAGAAGGGTACTTTGACCCAAACCTGTTCTCCCTTTGGAGCCACTGCCTGTCTTAAGGGTGCTTGTAATGCTGCTCCCCTCCTTCTAGTTCGCCCTGCTACTGGGCTGAAATTCTCTCGTCCATTTTCGTCACTGCCATCTAAACCCCGATTATCCATTCTTCCGTCCTCACTTAGATTTCTGTTCGAATTCCCTTGCCCTGGCGTCACCAATAACCATGCCTCATCTTCCTCCTCTTCCGAGTCTTTATACTTATTACATTGCTTCTCGATGCTACACACTGAGCAGCATCGTTTTGGCCCCTTATTTCTCACTTGCTCTAAAGCAAGAATATTAGAGTCCTTAGCAACTAACCCACATTCCTTCTGACTTTTCCAATCATTTCTTAGTGTAAAGAACAAATCTACATACGGCACTTCATCCCATTTTCCTTCCCGTCTACAAAACAACATTAACTGTAATATTGTATTATATTTCAGAGTTCCATTCTTTGGCCACTTTTCTTGATCTTCTAACACATAGACAGGCCACCACTGATTACAATATTCTGTCAATTTCTTTCGGGTCAGCGGATACCCTCCAAACTTACTCCAGTTCTTTAATATACAACCTAATGGGGAAGCCTTAGTTATTCCCCCTTCCTGGGAGGATGATACATTTCCCATTCTTATAAACAGTACAATACCGTTTTAACCAAATTACACCAAGTTACACAAAAGAGCTCTTACTTATTCAAACAATTGTATACAATAATACAACCAATACCAATGCCACTTGCTCCGGTTGTCACCGTGTTAACGCAAATAGCCCCACACAGCTGCAATACCAATAAAACCAATACCAATATTCTACCAACACGTGCTCTGATTGTCACGATTTACTTGGGGAATTTTTCAATATTAAGCAATATCTCTGAATTTCGGCTACGGCGTATTACTCACCGCTCCGGGGAATCGCTCAGGGAAGTCCCTGGATAAATAGTTCCAGTGCGCACCGGAGTTCCCATCGCAATCCCCGGTCGTGGGCGCAAGCTGCAGAATTCGAAACGTCAGGGTCCCATCTGGGTCACCAAAACTGTTACTTGAAAATAAAGCTCCTGAAACCAAAAATTATTTAGAAAGGAGATATTGCTTTATTCAGCGCTGGATGCAAGGTGGAAGAATTCCACAAATCAAGCACACCAAGCTTGGATTCTATTCCCTTATTTATGCATTGAGTATACAATTTCCACACCTATCTAATACATAATTATTAACCTGTCTTCGTACACTCATCTTCATTGATTAACAGTTTACTCGCCTAGTCTTTAAAGCTATAGTGTCCTTTTAATCCACTGCGCTTGCGTAGGAGGAGTGTGGGGGGGTACTTGCTTTGGTCCTTAATTGTGTCGGTGGTCGCAATCTCCCCCTGCCTGAATTACTTTTACCCAGTTTTTCCCATCTTGCACATGTCTGTTTTACTTTCCCCTTATCTTTGAACGTCAGCAGCCAGTTGCTTGGCCATCCTCCCTTCCTCCTTACATTTTATCAGTGTAGCAAGATGTGCATTTCTTCATTACTACTCAGGGACAACACTGTAACCAGAACTTGTAGGATGCTTCTGTTCCAGGCCAAGCCTGCTTATTCTGCTGCTCTGACAGCAGTTTGAGTGATTTCTTCCCCACGCCCGTAGGCTAGAATATGTATTTGAAATGCCTGGAGCAATGGGGATACTGTAGAAATGGGTAGTTTCTTTGTCTGCTATATAGAAACTATGCATTGTCCTCATAGAGCTTTCTACACAATACAATAGAGGTGATTCGCTTGGAATGATGATGGACAGTGAGCTGGTACATTAGGACAGAGACAATTTTTCCTGGAGCTAAAATAAGGTGTTAGTCCCTGTCATTGTTGTGCAAGTTCAGCTAAGAGATAAATAGGGTTTCCACCACTTTGATGGATAGGGCTGCATACCTTCTGCAATTTGGCAAAAGAAGTCAGGTAAATGGTACTGTTTTAGATCTGCAGTTTTCTTCCTCCTTTTTCCCAATTTTTTTATCTAAGCAGTGCCGGAGGAGTAACTGAGAGCAGGGCCCCATTCTTCTGTACTGTGATAGAGAACCTTGTGCCAGGGAGGTCTTTGAGATTTTAACCAATGTAACTTTGGGTTTGCCCATCTTTTGCCTGGGTAAGAATATAGACAGAAGATGTAGTAACTGCAGTATGCTATCAAAACGCATCCTCTAAGCAGGAGACTATGTTGTAAACAAAATCTGTGTCTTGTAAAATAAACTGGTTTAGTAAAAAAAAAATCGGATGGAAACTTCAAGTTTAGCTGGAAGTACAGCAGCAAATTTAGTGGAGGAGTCGAGACAGCTATTGTCCCAGTACTGACACTGAGTGGTAGAAAGCATGCGCTACCAGTAGGGTAATGGTGGTGGTGGGAGATGGCTGCGTTGTCTGTATTGGAGTTGCATGCGGTCCTGGAATCAACACATACGATTTTGAAATGGATCTTTAAGCAGCTGCTAGGTTAGAAAATAGGCCTCTGACAAATACCTCTCTTAGTTTAAAACTCGTTGGATTTGTAACATTGTAACTACTAAAAAAAATTATTATCTCGAGACACCCGCGCACCACTTGCTATTTTATTTTGGCACGCTCTCTTAGCATCTGTATGTGTATGTGTATGTATCCACTTTGTGTTACTTAAAGTTTTTATTTATGCGGGTACCTGCCTATCTTCAGGCTTTTGTCTTGCAGAATTTGGGGTTTAACGATGTTACAATACTGTAGGCCTTTCCCTAAGCTTTCCGGTCTGTCAGAGCAGGTTGCGGACCGAAGGAGGGAATAGGAAGCTAGATGTCACTTAGGCTAGCTGCAAATGTCTGGAAGGGTTACCTGGTGTTAGGTAAGGGAATGGAGTTTCTGGTAACTACAGCAGGTTTTGGTTTTGGGTGGTTGGGTGGAGAAGCCTGCACGCTGGCAGTGCGGAAGGAGCAGATAAAGTCTGCATGCTTTTCAGTTTCCCGTGGATCTAAAGGCTTTGGTTAACCTCAGTTTCCAAAATTGATCGTTTTTAGTACTGCCCTTGAGAAAACCCCTCTCCAGAGGCGGAGCCTGGCGCTTGGGCTTTATGAAGAAATACGCCATACTCGGGTTTTTGGGTGGTGGGGTTTTTTTTGTTGGCCCCAAAGACAGACGCCTTTCCCCGGGACGGGGCTTGCCGGCCCCGCGGCG